TCCATCTACGGAGGTTTTGCGTAGTTTATTTTTAGGAGAGTACCACAACGCAACGGGACATTTCGGCTCCAAGAAGACTAGTGCTAACTTAGTACATCGGTTTGGTGGCCTAACATGCTAGACGATGCAAAGAAGTACGTACAGACATGTCAGGTCTGTCAGCAGGACAAGCCGCGGACTCGAGCTTCGCTTGGGTTACTCAAGCCTCTACCCATTCCTGCTGGCCCAATGCAGAGTGTCTCCATGGACTTCATGGATACTCTCGTGACCAGCAAGAATGGCAAGAGGCACATCTTTGTCATAGTGGATAGGTTCACTAAGTATGCTAGACTAATTGCCATGCCGGAGATTGCCAGGACTGAGCACATGTTGTTCATGGACAACTGGGTGCGTCTTTGGACGACCAAAGACAATCGTTAGTGATAGGGATGTGCGTTTCACAAGTGAGATGTGGAAGAAGGCCGCTGAACAGATGGGCAGCCAGCTTCAGATGACTTTTGGGAATCATCCCGAAGCAAATGGGCAGGCTGAACATATGAACCGTGTGGTGCAGCATCTGCTGAGGCATTACATTAAGCCCAACCAGGGTGACTAGGATGAGAAATTACCTCTCATCGCCAGCCTGTACTACAATGTTGTACACAGCACCACCGACATCAGTCCTAATCAGCTGCATCTGGGATGGAAGCCTAAATCTGCTCTAGACTTCCTCCTGCCTAAAAACCGAACTGCTGCAACTCCTCGAACCATTGAATTTGGTGTCCAATATGAGAAATTGTTGCAGCAGACTGTTGAACACATAAAGAAATCTCAGGAAGCTATGATTGCTTCTGAGAACAAACGTCGCCGACAGTCCACATTCCAGGTAGGGGAACGTGTCTGGGTCAAGGCTAGTGAGTTGGGGCAGGAGTTTGGCATCTCTAGGAAGCTAATGCCTCAGTATTTCAGTCCCCGGGAAGTCTTAGACATTGTAGAGAATGATTTTGATGGTCCCTTGTACGTCATTCGTATCCCTGGTCACCTACGCACTTACCCTGTTTTCCACGCCTCCAAGCTTGTGAAACGGTATTCACCAGTTCGCGGTGCGAATGCAGATCCCAGGGCTCAATCCCTGGTTCCCGTCTTACCTATGTACAGTACTGATGTCAACCCGTAGATTTGAACCTGCGACCTGTAGGATCGCCAGTGGTAGGTAGACTTTCGTAGGTCACAGGGTAGGAAGGATTCGAACTGTAGAC